GTACACGAGCTAGTTAATAAATATTATTGGTTAAGTGATTTGAATGGATTATATTATTTTTTTCAAGTCTCAAGGCCTCACCGTTATTTTATTTTAGTTTAGATTCATAGTAAATAATAACCAACATATAAACTGTTGTTGCATACAAATAGGAAATTCACAAAATAAATTATGTTAAAAAAAATAAATATTTTAAGTAACACCACGCTAAAAATTTCCTATATTTTGTATAGGAAAACATTTTGAAAGAAAAATAGTAGACTTAAAAAAACAAATGTTTATTGTTTAACTTCACTGATAATAATAATAATAATAATAATAAGTAAGTCTATGGTATCAACCACGGCTTATGATTTTTCTATCTGAAACAGTGATATCAACAACCAAATTATGGTATTAAATATGAAAAAAGTATCCAAATTTAAAGCAAAAATAGATTTTTTCATTCTTTATTATTTTTCTGGCGGTGGGGTGGGGGGTGACATGTCTAAGGGAAGACATTAACCCTCAATTGCATTCACCTGCTGAAATAAATCAAGACCTGAGTCACGAACAGGAAGTGTTAGGAAACACTTTTAACATCATTTTTGGATGGATTCTACTTGGTCTAATCAAAGACAGTTGGTAGTATCAATAATTATCACTTCAATTGATTCCTTCTTAGAAAGGTTTTAATTGAAGTACCTGATTTGTAATGGAAACATTGAAACAGTCATTGTAATGGATACTTATCATAATTCCTCTCATTGATTAATTGTCCCACTTCTATTATGCGTTCTGTCTATTTCTTTCCTTCTTTCCCATTTCATGGCTCCTGTCAACTGTTTGATCGTCTTGAATGTAAGTTAGTGCTTGTTTACTCCTTGTATGACGCATAAAATCCATGTTTGAATATGAATTTATGGGTCATAATATCCGTAGTCCATGTCTCCTAGAATTTATTTTTTACCCCACCATTCAGACCATTCAGTACCTAAATCTGATGGGCAGAAAATTTAGCTTCAAGTAGTGTTGTTACGTTAAATCGACTTCCATCCAACATATCTCTTAATTCAGTTTTATGTGTAGGCATTGAGCTCCATTATATATAATGAATATTCTGTTTCAACACTGGATTTACTTTTTGTTTTCACAGCAGATATTTGCAAAATATATGGGAATATTCTTCTAGCTCCGAACTCCTGAGTATTCATGTCGGGATTGCTCTAGGAAAAAGCTATTATTAATTAAGTTTCATGAGATAGCAGTGGCGTCATTTGGGGGGGAGGGGGCAAGGGGGGCATTTGCCCCACCCCTCCTGTCATTAGCGGGCTACTATCGGGCCGGTCGACTTGGCCGGCCCAGGCCGGGTATATGGTGCTAGTTTTGGGCCACAAGCCCGCAAAAATGATTCATAACATTCATGTCATTGCTAAATAGAATTTAACCATGATTCGTGGCTCCTACTAACACGTAAATAATTATAAGGTATCTGACATCTGTATTCTGTATGTGCAGTGGTGGACTGGACGAGTGGGATATCGGGTTTCCCGCCTTCCCTTTAGGCCGCTACTCGTATAAAATATTTACTTATTCATATTATTGTGAAATAATAAATTAAAATGTTATCGTCGTTATCGAATAACGGAATAACTAATAAGTAATAAGTAATAAGTATATAATATTATTAAACATAAAAATCCAAATTTCTGATTAATTTAAAATGCGGGAGGCGGGACCCACGGCTATAGAGTATAGATGATAATATTATCGTATGTATTTTATTATTATCAATAGCTGTGGCGGGACCTAACCTTGTGTTCGGCCGGTCCGGGCTTGTTGATAACTCATTGTTACAAGTTTAAAAATAGAATTGAAAATAATTATTACACGGGCCTTATGTTATCAAACTATCAAAGTTGGTATTTAACAGAATAATAAGAACCTGTCACTGCCTAGCATTTAAGCAACTTTTAAAAAACTTTTATTAATAATAAATATACAATAAAGTATTGTATGTTTTATTTTATTTTTTGTTAATACCATTAACTCATATTTGGTGCAAATAAGACATAAATTGGGGTAAAATTCCCCTTAGAATATGTCATCA